AGAGTCTATGAGTATATCTTATGTTGGTTTGCAAACATCTTACAACATCCAAGTGCTAAAAATGAAACTGCTCTCATTATAATTGGAAAACAAGGAACAGGTAAGAACACATTCTTTACAGATATCTTATGCAAACTGTTAGAGGGCTATTCGAACCCGAATATGAAAACTTAGAAAACATCTGTGGCAAGTTTAACTCCTCAATAGAGAATATGAAAACTTATAGTTTGCAATGAACTTCAAAGTATAGATACAACAAAAGTTTTGAAACTCAGATGTTTGAAGAGTCTTATAACAGACAAAGTTGGAGTTGTTTGAAAAGAAAATATAAAGACCAAAGAGTTTTGTGAAAATGTTGCAAACTTCATTATGGTTTCAAACAATGTTGTTCCGATGAAGTTAGAAAGTTCTGACAGAAGATATGTAGTTGTCAGAACGTCAGATTCTCATATGCAAGATACAGAATATTTTGACGACTTAGCAGAAACTTTGACATCTGACTTTTACAACCACTTGTTCTCATATTTCATGACATTAGATATTTCTAAGTTCAATCCAAGACAAATTCCACATACCGAAGAGAGACAAACATTGTTAGAAGCAAACAAGAGTGTATATGAACTGTTCATAGATGAAACTGACTTTGTGTCATTAGATGAAAGGTCATTGTACGATTCGTATAAACAATATTGTCAAGAATATGGTTATATGACAGCGTCTAAACGAACATTCTTGGCAAATGTCAAAAGTCTTTTAGACGTACAGAATGGTGTATATACAAAGAAAAATTTTTATGAGTAAATTTAAAAAAAAATATTTTTTTATCCGATAGAAAAGATGGCAAAATTCATCTCAGTAAACAAGTACATGTCAGGACTTAAAGAAGAACTAGACCCATTCACATATTTGAATGTTTACTTCTACCATTTTGAAAAGTCTTCATTCAGCAAAGTTTGGAACATCGAACCAGTTAAGTTTGCTATTGTGACTAAAAAATGGTGCGAAATTTGAAGACTTAGACATAGAAGGTTTGTTAGCAGTCAAAGAAAGTTTTGACAGAAGGTTTTCAAACCTTAAAGAAGGCAAAGCATACAAACTTGTTATAACCTTATGAACCAAAGAAAGCAGACGACTATGAATATTATGAGTCTAAAGTTGTAGAAGTTCAAAGGTAAATTGGGTAAAAAGATTTTAGAGTCTAAGCCAGTGTTTGCTCCTAAAGAGGAAGAGAACATTGACATTTGACCCAGAAATGTTCTAAAAATAAAATTTTATTTTTACATGTCAAATTTCTTTTTCTCTGGAACTGGTTCAGGTTCTTTCTTCTCTTCTTCTACTTTCTTTTCTTTCTTTCTCTCTTCTTCTTTTCTGGTGGAGTTATGTCAAATTTGGCGCAACCATATTTATGTAAAAGTTCTTTGTCCTTTAATAGCTCTTCTATTCTGTTTTCTATTTCATCTTCAAGAACAGCGCATGTGTCTTCTTTGCATTCTAAGAACTTTTGTTGGACTTCATCTTTCCAATCCGGCGTCATCTCTGTCAACAAGTCTGTCATTGACAAATTTTAAGACTGCTCTGCTTAATGTTTTATGGTTCTTGTCATATTCCCAGAAACAGAACTTTAGAACAAATTCACCTTTCTTGTTTACACTATGTAAGATTTTATGGTCGACAGATGTTTTGCTGTCGAAAAGCTTGTCTCGAATATAGATAGCGAAATCGCTAGACATTTTCTAAAAGATAAAAATTTTAATTTTTCTAAAAAATATGTTGAAAAAAAAGTTTGCTGACATTGACAAGAAATTTGAGAATGTTTTAAACAAGAACAAGAGGAAGTTAGAAAATGCTCAGATAAAACCTATACATGACAAGTTCTTATTTGCTCAGAATGGTATAAACAGGTCTAATTGCACCACCTGGGTCGGGTAAGACTTTCACTTATCTTAAAATGGCTGCACAACAACAAGAACTAGATGAGAAGAACCCATTCTATGAGTTAGTAGTCATTTGTAGTACTTCTGGTCAATTTGACCAAACCGTCAATTCGTTCAAAGATATTATAAAGAAGTCTAAGTTAGTATGTATAAAGGATACTGAGTTGTTGGATTGGATAAAGAAGTACCAAAGAAGAGTTTTGAAGTATAATGCTATAAAATGAGTATATAAATTCTAAGTTTAAAGACCCAAATGAGGAAATGCAGAGAATATTAGACAAACACCACTTCAGAAACAAACAGAAAGAGATAGAATACATTTCGAAGAAATTGCAATCTTACGATTGGAAGACTTACCCTCATAGATGTCTTCTTATCTTAGATGACTTTGCTTCTCATCCTTTGTTAAAGAACAGAGAACAAGATATGTGTCGAATTCTTAAGAAGCTCAGACACTTTAACATCTCAGTCGTAATATGTGTACAGACAGCAAAGAGTTTAAGTAAGGATGTAAAGAGAATACTTACTGACATTGTACTTTTCCCCGGATTGTCCGAAGACGATTTCATGGAACTTATGAAAGAGTCCATGGCAGGTAAGTTTGACAGACATGAACTATGGGAGAAGTATAAAGTCATACAAGACCCTCATACTTCTTTCAGAATTCATATCTACGCGAACAAAGTTCAAATTGTAAAAAGTCAAGCTTGAAAAATCTAAGTGTTTAGTCTTAGTAAGTAAGTCTGTTGTGGTTCTGCAGCTTTCGGTTCTTCTGGCTTTGGAAGGCATTCAGGAAGAGGAACGTCAGTCATCCGTTTGTGTCCTGTCGGAAGGAAAAATTTTTCCTGTTGGAAGGAAGAACTTTTTCTGTCGGAAGGAAAAACTTTTTCTGTCGGAAGGAAAAACTTTTTCTGAAGTTCGACCAAAAAGTTCTCAATTTTCGAAAATTTGAATGGTTTACGGACGGACAACTGGAAAATTTTTTCCTGTCGGAAGGAAAAATTTTTTCTGTCGGAAGGAAAATTTTTTCCAGTTGTCGGGAAAATATTTTCCTGTCGGATGGAAGGACTCGGAATGCCAGAAGGATTTGACGAGGCAATTTACCTAATTGAGCTACTTGAGCCATCTGAAGTCAAGCGTAAAAATAAATGGTTCATCTACCCTACTTGTTTGAAGTTGTCAAAATACTCTGTTATTTTTTCCTTTAACAATGACAAATCTTCTTTGAATGTAAGTATTGTACAACCTTTAATATCATAGTGTGTTTGAGGTAACGTATCTTGAACTATTTGTTTCACATCTTCATTCGGTGTCATTGAAATCGGTAAGTTTTCGCGATAGAACCAATTTCTGTCAGATTTGTAAATCTTAGCAAGGTCGTAAAAGCTTTTGTTGTTTCTTCTGACTAAATGCAACATAACCATATCTCTGTCTTCTTCTTTCTCCAACTCTTCAGTATAAATCATATACTTATAGTTCTTTTCCTTTCCTTTTGGTACCGAACGTGGTATTCTTTCTGAATGCTTTTGTCTTTTGCTTCAATGACTTCATCTTTTGCATGAAGTTTCTTTTCCATCTCTTCACGTTCTTGTCTATGAATTTCGTCAAGAAGTCTGTAAATATTCCAAGCATAACGAGGCGAAGCCCACATTGCAACAGCATTTACAAGAAGTCTATGTACATACCAACCTCTCAAACCATTTGGCAAATTTTTACGATTTTCATGAGTTTTAGGCGACCCCGAAGGAAGTCGGTCTCGCTGTGCTTCGCTCAAAAGTTCTTGTGTGCTTTGGTTTTTGAACCAATCGTCTGTATGTTTGGTATCTGGAGCAAAACATGCTGTCAAAATACTTTGCATCTGGTACATATCGTCTTTGACCGAACGAATGAGACGGAGTTGTTTGTTAAACTGAACCCACTCATATTCTTCATTTATAGCTTCATGGACTATAACTGTTGTTGTGTTCTCTGTTGTTGACATATCTGTCTTTACATTCCGGATAAAAAAATATTTTATAAAAAATTAGCGTTATTTTCTGACTTTCACAAAAGACCAAAAATAAACGCTTTACATGTATTTTTCAGCAACTTCGTCAAATAATTTTATAGCTTTATCTATCTCATCTACTTCAAACGTTTCTTTACCTTTTATGGGAGCACCATACATTTCTCAAACTTTTCAAGTAGTTCTGTTTCTGCAGCTCTCATATCATTAGCAAACACAACCTTGACTCTATACTGTACTGTCATATCTTTGAGTTATATTATATGTTCTTCCTATCTTATATCTTTTTGTATTGAAGTCCTTCGGTTTCTGAACGATGTAAAGTAAGCCTTCACTGCAAACGTTTCCGTATCGAATGAACCATATGTTATGAAGTTATATCCAACAACTGGGTCTAAACCATAACAAAAACTATTGGTATAAGACTTTTGTCAATGAGATATGCTGTAGTTTCCATAGAATCTTACCGATATCATAAGCTCAGGATTTCTTGTCAAAATTTTCTGACTAGAAGCAATTCTAACCCAGTCCTGCGGTCTCTTTCCAGATGGAGATATAATGTCTGACAGAGAATATTTGTTGTATTTCTTTGAGTATCTTACGTTTAAATCACCTATTCTAACCAATTTGGTGTCATTGTCTATCTTTCCAACTGTTTCAAACTCAATGTTTGTCATTTCTGTCTTTAAGTCTGCATAGTCGTTTCTCATACGTTCTATCTCTTTGACGGAGTAGTTATATCTCCTCATTGCTGCTTTACATTTTAGAACATTGCGGGTTCATTTTTGCGTTATATTCTGAAACCTTACCTGCTAAAACAACTAAAGCGTCAATGGTTTTCTTTAACTCAAAGTTGCTGGTTTTATCTGTTTATTCCATACTTTGCCTCTTCTATCTTTATCTCTTATCTGCCATACACATTCAGCAACTAACGAAACAAAGTTGTCGTAGGTCTTAAATTCTTCAGATTTATATATGTCAGAAACATTCTTATATACCATATCGCAATCTTTGTCCATAACCTTATGGTTGCAATGAAATCCTAGAAACTCATAGTTTACCTTTCGTATGAACTTCTTTATTTCTACTGAGTCAGTTGCTTTGACTTCTATTTCATCGAATTCAGGAATAGTGAGCTTTTGTTGTTGGATTTCAGGCAATTTAGGCAAATGGTCAATAATGTCCTGCATTTCATAAAGATATTCTTCATTTGTTTCATCTTTCGCACTACAGTCTAAATTACATGTTAAAAGTTCCTGCTTTATCTTCTGGATTTCTGTTTCAAAAGTATATGAAGAAGGAATGAAGCTTTTCATCTCTACCAACATAGATGTTGGATTCATGACTAAAGAGTTTGGTGCTGTAGTTGTTTGTATTGTTGTTGTTGTGCCGATTGTTGACATTTTTATTTTTTTATACAAAATAAAAAAAATAAAAAAAATAAAACTAACTTTATTTTTTATTTCGGGAAAATTCATGAAAATTCAAGAGGTTAGAAAACGTGTTAGAAAACATGTTAGATCTAACATTCTAACATAAACTTTATTTTTGGGTCCTTTACACTCATTACGAAGAAGTCTTGACAAAACATTTACGAAGAAGTCTTGACAAAACATGTACGATGAAGTCATGACAAAACATATACGAAGAAGTCTTGACAAAACATTTACGAAGAAGTCTTGACAAAACATTTACGAAGAAGTCTTGACAAATTCAAGAGGTTAGAAAACGTGTTAGATCTAACCATCTACCCTAAATTATATTTTTGGTGTAAATTTCATGATTTTCGAGAGTTTTAGACCATGTGAGAAAACATGTTAGAAAACATGTTAGATCTAACATTCTAACATAAACTTTATTTTTGGGTCCTTTACACTCATTACGAAGAAGTCTTGACAAAACATTTACGAAGAAGTCTTGACAAAACATGTACGATGAAGTCATGACAAAACATATACGAAGAAGTCTTGACAAAACATTTACGATGAAATCATGACAAAACATTTACGCTCATTACGATGAAGAAGTCTTGACAAAACATATACGAAGAAGTCTTGACAAAACATTTACGATGAAATCATGACAAAACATTTACGAAGAAGTCTTGACAAAACATATACGAAGAAGTCTTGACAAAACATGTACGATGAAGTCATGACAAAACATATACGAAGAAGTCTTGACAAAACATTTACGATGAAATCATGACAAAACATTTACGCTCATTACGATGAAGAAGTCTTCACAAAACATTTACGCTCATTACGATGAAGAAGTCTTGACAAAACATTTACGCTCATTACGATGAAGAAGTCTTGACAAAACATGTACGATGAAGTCATGACAAAACATATACGAAGAAGTCTTGACAAAACATTTACGATGAAATCATGACAAAACATTTACGCTCATTACGATGAAGAAGTCATGACAAATTCAAGAGGTTAGAAAACGTGTTAGATCTAACCTCTTCACCTAAACATTCTCGTCAAATACAAAAAAATGAAAAAAATGACACTTTTTCATTATATAACTGTTATTTTTTGACGAAGTGAAGGTTGACACTTCGTCAAAAAAATCCCTGAAATCATATCTTTACATACAAAAAAATACAAAAAAATGACACTTTTTCATTATATAACTGTTATTTTTTGACGAAGTGAAGGTTGACACTTCGTCAAAAAAATCCCTGAAATCATATCTTACATACAAAAAAATACAAAAAAATGACACTTTTTCATTATATAACTGTTATTTTTTGACGAAGTGAAGGTTGACACTTCGTCAAAAAAATCCCTGAAATCATATCTTTACATACAAAATAAAAAAATAAAACTAACTTTATTTTTTCTATCTTAAGGAAATTCATGACAAATTCAAGAGGTTAGAAAACGTGTTAGAAAACGTGTTAGATCTAACATTCTAACATAAACTTTATTTTTGGGTCCTTTACACTCATTACGAAGAAGTCTTGACAAAACATTTACGAAGAAGTCTTGACAAAACATTTACGATGAAATCATGACAAAACATTTACGAAGAAGTCTTGACAAAACATGTACGATGAAGTCATGACAAAACATATACGAAGAAGTCTTGAAAATTCAAGAGGTTAGAAAACGTGTTAGATCTAACATGCTAACATAAACATTATTTTTCAATACTTTTTCAGCACTTTTCCGTAGTTATATATGAAAGACAATTCGAGATAAAAGTCATAGTACAATGGAATAATATGTTGCACACCATTTGTTGTGAACCAAACTTGAAAGTCAGAGAAACTGTTACTAGGTGGTTCGTAGAATTTAGAAGCAAAGTCATAAAAGTCCTTACCAATACATAGAAAACTATTGTTGCTTGAACTGAAACTTGCATGACACATAACATTTTGAGGGTCAAACACGTTTCTATAAACTGTCAAATCTGCTGGTGGAAGTATAAATTTAAATGGACCATCTGGTGGTAATGGTTCGTTCTGGTTTAGTAACCGAAGAAATTGTGCCCAAGAACGTTTGTCTACTTTCCAAAATAAAAACTCTGTATCTCTTGGAGGGTTAATTTCAATCTTTTGAAATGAAACGGTGGAGTTCATCTTGTCATATTCTAGTTTCAGATAGTATGTTCCATTTAGTAAAGAGTCGTATTTTTCTTGAAATTCCCAATAATATTTGTTCATTTGAGTTTGAAAGTCATTTAGAGTTTTCTCAAGACTTTCGTCTGAACGAACTGTAAAGATTCTCATTTCGTCAAATTTGTCTATTAGACCATCAGAACCTTTATACTGCCCATGAAAATATACTGCGAACATAAATGCGTTAGTTCTATTTGAAAACAAAACTCTTCTAAATCCTATTGCCTTTGCATCTGAAGGACTTTGAAGCCAACGAATTGGATAGTCAAACCTGTATACTCGGGATGAAATTTCTTCATCTGAAATAGTCCTACCAGCATTTGTAAAGATATAGTCTAACGGTTTTGTATCTGCTACTTTTTGTTCTTTGTTTTTCAACCTGAAGCATTTAATATATGTAAAAATATATTGTTTTAAAATGGTATGCCATTTCATATTTCTCATCTAACAAACAAGTTTCCTTCAACTTGAGGTTCACTAACAAACTCAGCGTACATTTCAAATAAAATTAAAAAATGTCACTTTTTTAAAAATAAATTTTTTACTTCATGCAATGTTTAACACATCGAAAGGCATGTCCATAAGACGTTCTTCTTCTAACCTCTCTAGTCTGTTTGGATAATTGGCACGTGCTGTTTCCAAATCCATTTCGTAGCGAAGACCAGCCAGTTTGTCATAGACTTTTATGGGTCTTCCCTTCCTATATTTAAAATTCTTCGAAACTCTCCAACCATATCTTTGCAACTCTGCTTTTATTCTAGCAGACTTTCTGTCCATTCTATATGGGGGCATTTTTATAAAAAGAAAAAAAAATATTTTTTTCTTTACTTTACATAACCGCCTGCTGCCATAAGTCTTTGACGCCAACCCATACCAGCTAATGAAGGTTGACTTGGTTTAGTTTCCAAACTAAACTTTGGTTTTGGTTTATCTTCAGTTTTTGGTTTTTCTTCTTCTATCGGTTTTTCGTCACTTTTCGGTTTCTCTGACTTTACTTCACTTGCAGGAACAGTTGTGTCGTCAACATCTTCATAAATATCATATGCCATTTGTTTTTGTTTTCCTTTCAACTTTTTGTGTTTGTTGTAAAGTTTAGAATATTTCGACTCTAAGTCAATGAGATGTTCTATAATGAACTGTTGGTCAGTGAAGTAAACTTTTCCATCTGTTGTCTCGAAAGCTCCTTCAGACTTCAATATTTTATTTGTGAGAGTCTGTTTCTTTTTGAGATACTTGCCGTTCCATTTTTATGAAAAGTGACTTTGTAGTTAGGGTTTGTATTTCCAGACCTGGCACTTTCTATTATTGAATTTTTCTCTTCATCTGTAAGTTCTTTGACAGGTTTTGACAATGGTTCTGAACTTTTTGTTTGTGGTGTCAAATCTACCGTTTCAACTTCTTCGGTCATTTCATCTCAGTAAAAAATTTTAGTTTGGTTTGTTTTCAACTGGTTGTTGTTGTTTTTTAAGTCGGTCTAAAACTTCCTGAGGTATAGGAAGAACTTGACAAACACGTTGTGTAACTGCTGGAAGCCGACAAATCCATCTTGAACCCATTTGTCTCAATGCTGTATTGTTCATTTCATCTCAGTAAAAAACTTTACATTCCCCAAGTTTGAGGTGGTTGCGGTTGGTTATTGTTTACCCATTGTTGTGCATGGTTATATCCTCTGTTAAAGAATCTTTCACCTTGGTCCATATAGTGTCCTGCTTGGTTATAGTAGTCATTTGCTTTGTTATAATAGTTTCCTGCTTGTCTTCCTACATTGTCCATCCATCCTTGAACTTTTCCTCTTGTTTCAGGATTTGGAATAAGATTTGTTGCATCTCGTGCTACATCCCAACCTTTCTGTACAGTTTGTATAATAGGTTGTGCTTTCTCTTTAAGTATACCTAATGTACTCAAAATCTTCCTTCCAACTCCAAATACACCTCTGGCTATTGTTCCCACTGCGGGCAAAAATCTGGATGCAACTCCTGCTAATGCGCCAAATAAACCCATTTCTTATAGGATAAAAAATGACGAATCCAAACAAGGACCCCTATGTTTCTAAAGCGACAAAGAAAGCACTCATGATAAAAATCTTTAGTTCAACACCAAATGCTTGGTTTATGGATATCTTGGAAAACATTCCGAGAGTTAGAACAGATGGACCACCATACTGGCTAATATTTGTCGGTCAAAACACAAGATACTGTGAAGCCATACCATTACAGTCCAAAAATATTTTAGATGTGAAAACTGCTTTGACAATATTCGTTGACAAATACCATCCAACAAAACTGACATCTGACTGTGAAAGTTCTTTCAAATCAGATGATGTAAAAAACTATCTGCGTTCAAAAAATGTAAACCAATATTTCATTGTCGACCAAAACCATTCTGCTCTTGGTGTCATTGACGGTTGTATAAAAATGTTAAGAGACTTAAACCAACCACAAGGTGGTGAAGCAAATGAAATGTCATATGACGACAAATATAGACACTTCTCCATGGCAAAGATGAGACAAGTTTTAAATATTTACAATAGCCGTAAACAAAAAGGTTTGGGAAACCACTCCCCCGAAGAAATGAAAAACAACCCTGACTTAGAGAAAGACTATATATTTAATAATTTAGTCAAAAGAGACAAACAAGAAAGAATGCCGGGCTTCAAACTTCAGAAAGGTGACAAAGTAAAAATAGAAATACCTAAACGCGACCCATATGAAAATACTATTGACTATGACAACAATGGGAACCCGACAGGTACTCACATTCGTGTTCGTAAAAATAGAAAAAAGTATACAAGAGAATATTATGAAGTTTTAGGCAAACATGGCAAAATGTACAGACTGCAAGCAGAAGATAAAACTACTATTGTCAGACCTCGTTTCAAACTTGTCAAAGTTCAAGGTGGTATACTTTCAAAGACAGTTCCTAACAAATATAAGACAACTCCTGACGAATATGCTAAAGAAGTTGAAAATGACGACTAAGCATTTCTATACCATGCGTAAACTGTCATGTAAGGTGGCATGTAGTCTTTACTTTGTCCCGTTGTTTGCGTATATCCTGAAACGCGATGTGTATGGTTTCCATCTCCCTGAGTGTTACCCCAGAAACAATTTATAGCAAACTGAACGTTGTCTTTAACATCATATCCTTTACCTTTTGTCATTGCCGACCAATCCCAAAATTTATGCTTATGCCAACCTGCTTGAGATGTACTTAAATCTATGTAGTGACTGTGTGCAGGTAAATTTTCACCTGAAATCGTTTTACTTCCACCTGTTTCCTTTGAAGAGTTTGCACAATACAAAAACCTGTCGACTATTTGAGTCCAAGTTCCAAAACCAAGTACTACTTCTGGTCTGGTAGAGTTCATTGACGTATAAATAGAGCCTATAGGATATAATGTTTGAAGTATTTCTGTCTTTAATGTTTGAAGCTCTGTTTTGTCTGCTTTCTTGTCATATAAATCTTGAGCAGTGAATTTAATATTATGTTCATCCTTCATGACATAAACATCTTTACATCTAATGTTTCTCATCGTCGTTATGTCGTCATCCGATGTTAAACCTTGTGGAAAGTTAGGAGGTTTACAATATAATGCATCCCCACCAGTTTCTTCAACCGTTCCTTCAATACTTTCTATAGCAACAGTTGTAAAACTTGTATGTGTATGAGTCTTATTTGCTTTCTTCTCTAACTCATCGTTAACATAAGTTTTATCTGCTTTAAGGTCTAAACATCCTGAAACCCATCCTGTATCGGCTTTAGTTTTTAAAATCTTCGATGTCCATTCATGGTACCAGTCAACCCTTTCTTTCATTTCATTATCTTTTTCATCCACATATTCCTTATCTGCTTTCTTCTCTAACTTACTAGCCACATATTCCTTATCTGCTTTATTTTCAAGGCTAACGTTTAAGTCTGTTATTTCAGATATAGAATGTATATGAGTCTTTTTAGAATATTCGTTTTCAGCTCTTGTCACTTCACTTGACATTTTATTGTCAACATATGTTTTGTCTGCTAGTTCAGGATGAGTATGTTCTTTTGTTGCATAAGCATTGTTAGCTCTTTCTTCTTCTTTTGCTATTGCATCGTCTACATATTCTTTGTCAGCTTTGTTGTCAACATCTGCTTTCAAAAGAAGTTCATTTATAGGTTTCTCGTTTAAAGTTCCTTTTGTTGGATTTATACAGACAGTATGGTTCTTATTGTCTTGAAACAGAAACTCATCTGTCATTGGGTTTAATGTCAGTTTTAAGTTTCCTTCTTTCAATGACTCAGATATCTTAGAATAGTTTGAAAAGTTTGTTGTGTTCTTATTTAGAGCTTGCACAATGAGTTGTCGGTTGTGTTGTATTTCTCTCATGGAAGCAATATCTTTCGACATTTTTATTCTAGATAAAATATGCTTCCAATAGAAAAAGAAAATTCAAGAGTTGCTACAACTAAACCATTAGATGAACTTTTTACTAATGTCGGTCAAAAGTTTGAGACAGAGACCGTAAAGCATGAAGGCTATCGTTTTGACTACCCATTAAGATGGCTAAGAGACCCATCTGTCACAAAAGCTATTGGCTTTCGTAGAATGAAGTTCATTTCAGAAGCCATACATGGTTTCCCATTTACGGTCGGTTTTGAAGTTCGATACTATAACAAAGAAAAACGTATGTATGAGAAATTTGAACAGGGAAAACTTTTACAAGTTAGTTTGCTTGTAAACTTAGAAACAACTCTTCAAGCTTTTCAAGAAAAAATAAACGATATCTATATCGAATATGCAAACCAGTATAACATTGACGAAGGAGAGTACCATCTCGATATTATTTATGACAGGAAAAATGCAACTGTTAAAATCAATAGAATAGAAGACCTTGGAGAAAACGTTTATATTTCTACAAAATATAACAACTTGGCATGGTATAGATTTATGAGGATGTTAAATCAGCCTGCAGCATATCCAGTACACCCAGACTTTTATGAAGTCGAAAACCCTAATGGAACATATGAAAATGTTTTCGACCAAGATGCTATTATTGTTCATGCTTCATTTTCTGGCGCCCAAAACTCTTTCTTATGCTTGGCAAATGACTTTTACGAAAAACCTACAAAGTTATACGAACCACCAAGTGGAAGTATTTCAGACTTTCAAGTATGGTTTACTACAGATGGAAGAAAAAGAATAATTCCATTATACCATGCGTTTTACTTAGAACTTAGTTTCATATACAACTACTATCGAACGGTAAAAATATAATTTTTTAATACGGTTGAGGTGTTGGATTTGGTTGCCAACTAGACTGTGGTGCAGGTTCAGGCTGTTGTATAACAGGAGCTTGTTCTTCTGGTTCAGGGTCTTTAGGTATAATACCAACAAACTGACCTACTCTTTTACCAATATTTTTGACTCCGTTCCAAATTCCTCTTCCTACGGTTTTTATTCCATTCCATATACCTCTTCCAACATTTCGAAAGAAGTTTCCTATCTTACTGAAGAAACCCATTTTACTATATGTAAAAATCTAATGTCCGCCTAGTCTCTTACGTTTCCTGTTGAGTTCCATAGCATTCTTTAACTGGAGCTCATACATTCTGTTTCTCCTCTGGTAGAAAACATATTCTGGGTCAACTCCTGTGTTCGCGTCATCTGCATAAAGTTGTTTATATCCCACTTCAGGGTTTGTATAAAACTCTTTCCATCTCATATTTGCATACCATGGTGGCAAACCTAACGCAGCGTTATTTGACATGGCAGTTTGCATTTGTACATCTGTTGGCACTTGACCATAGTTTGCCATTGCAGTTTGTATTCTAACTTCATTTGGAATATTCTCTGGGTTTGGTTGTCCAGGTTGCTGTGCATTCGCTAAGTTCTGTGCGTCCATTTAATATTAGATAAAAATATCTCTTACGAGTACATATACTGAACATTTGCAGGCATTGGTTCATCTTCATATTCTCTGTACTTTTCTGCCACGTCAAAGAAATAAATGACACAATGGAAAAAACCTAAAACAAGTAGTCCTATTTCAAACCACATTTACTTACTAATAAAATTTCTTTGTTATGACACTTTCTCCGGTTTATAGGACCTCTCTCATATTCTATCTTGTCATATCTAAACTCATAGTCATGTATGTCCTCTAACCATCTCATAACGGTTTCCAAACCACTTTTATCGGATGTAAAGTAAAAGCATGGATGGTTATGTATAACGTCTAAAGTTTCTAAAGAGTCTCTCAAAGTCCAGTCTACTTGGTATTGAAAATCCCATGTGTTATAGAACGGCGGGTCCACTATAAAGAAAACATTTTCCTTGTCTTTATATTTTTCATACAACTCTGTCCAATAACATCTCACAAACTCTATACCCTCAATATATTTTTCTATGTCCTCTTTGAAAACATTTGTATAGTTAAGATATAAAACTTTTGACATAAGTGTTTCAATGTCATGAACTCTTATAGCACCACTATATAATAGTCTAGCAGATATACTATCCCAGTCTATATATTCTGCTTTTTTCAAAACCTCTCTCACAATATTTTTCTTATCTAATGGTATACGTTCCATCTTACCTATAGGTATCTTTTCTTTTAACTCTTTCAATATATTGTTTGTGTCTGGAATATGTTTGAGACGGTTCATATAGTTGTCGAAGTCATTGCATATAATCTTTGAGTCTGGGAATATTGTATGGCACAAATGGGATATATAGAAACTTCCACCGAACAAATCTACAAATGTTAGACCATTCGGTAGTTTCTTAAGTTCTCTCAATATAATATCTTTACATCTACTCTTATTTCCAAAGAACGGTAACGGTGGTTTTGTAAAATTCATTTATATATAATAATAAAAATGTTTTTTCCTGAAAAGTGACAGAAAAGTGACAAAACATGAAAACATATATAATTTGTGAAAAGTGAAACATTATATAATGTTTTCGACCCAGAAGAAGGCTTCTTCCCAGAAGCAATGGAGGAAGAAGAAGAGTCCTCCGAATTCACACCAGAAGACTAACAATTTTCCGAATAAAAACTTCATTTATACTAAACATCTTCGGGGCTAGAGGGCACGAAGTGCCTGGAAGCCCCACTACCTTTTTTTTTTTTTTTTTTTGCAATTCAAAAAAATGAGAAAAATTTCGGATTGTCCAAATTGAAGGATATAATTTTTTTTCTTTAGCCAATAAATCAATGTATTATATTGCATTCATTATCCAATGAGTAGTTACACATAATATTAGCATATAACACTCTTGCTGTTTACAAATACAAATTTTGATTTGATTATTTTGTTTAAAGCTATTCTATTTATAGTGATCTCTTATATAACATGTTGTATAAAATATCTATATTACTATTATTGTATTTCATGAATCTTTTTTCATTAATAAAATTTTATTGGAAAAATTTCAACTTTTCATTAATCTAAATTGACATCTGTGATGCTTCCTATTCTGTTACAACTATTAAAGCTTACATTTAAATTCGAATTCAAAATTTCAAATTTTTTTAAATTGATCAATACAATGATTTTAATAATATATATTTGTTTGTGCTTTTAAATTTCTTAAGCTTTCAAAATTTAAGAGAATTGATAACTTAATACAATATGATCTTAATGATATACTAATTAATAATCCGCAAAATTTAAAAAAGTCTTCTCAAAACTAAATTCAATGCCTTTCAATCGAGATTTTGAGGCAACTTTAGTATAAATCTCGATAAAAGATGGATGTTCCCTATATGAACAAGCTTCAAATGATGAACTGTCATAGATATAATTTGAATATCTCATTAAAAAATCAATTCGATTCGATATTTTCATGAATTTTGGTTTTACTCTGTTTTTATTACGACCACCGACAATATGCAGAAGTTTAACAATTAAATTTCATAGTATTTAAGTCACATCGACAATTTGAATGATCAAATTTGAACAAAATAATATAAACTTGATTTACTTTGAAATTATTATACTATTTGATGAGGGTTTGGGAGTTATGACATAAGGGTTTCGTTTTGCTAAAATTATCACTTTTATAGCATATTTGTTTTTGGATGTTTTGCGAAACCAAAAAAAAACTATGATATACAATGTGTGTGTAAAGAAAATACTTTATTTACTAGTTAAAAAATCATTTGGTATTGATCAAGTTATAGTAGTATATGTTGAAGGGTTGTGTGACTTTTTTTGTAAACGTAAGAATTCATACAATATAGAACGATTTTGTATCATTTTTTTTAACATATGAAGTAAAAAATGTATGATTCTTACGGTTTTTATTCTCACGTTTTTGAATAAATCAAGATTTAAAAAATTTTCAAAATTGTAAGACATTTACACTCAGCCCATACATAACGAAATAAACACATTAAAAAAATTAACATTAATTTTAAAATAATTTATATTTCATCACTTATAAAAGAAGCTATATATAGATGATGTCAGGTTATTCAATAATTAAACATTGTTTAAATCCTGATTGGAATCAATGGAGTCATGAATGAGTAAAATAAACTTTAAAAATAAATTGAAACTAATGATTATTTGAATTTATGAAATCAATTATTTGATTCATTCTTTCTTCAATAATTTCTATTTTTTTTGTTAAATCATCTATTTTCATTAATGAGGTGATTCTTGATTGAGGAATAGATTTCAAACTAACCACTCCTTTTATTTTTGAAATTTTGAATCCATCAACTTTAAACATTTTATTCAATTTACATGTTGTCAATTCTTCAAATAATTTTTTATTATTAGCATAATAGTCATTAAATTCTTCAACAGATGAAAAAATTTTTATTTCAGTAATTGGTTTAACAACGTTTATTTTTTGTTGAACATTTTCACTTTCATTTATTTCTTCCTCCTCTGTTTCATTTATTTTTAAAATCGGTTTCATTTATCATTAAATAAAAATTAGAATATAAGTGATGAAATATATTTTTTAATTAATATTAAATCAGAAATGGCGGCAGGATTCTTTAAAAAATTATGGGATGGAATTAAGAAAGCTGCGGGTTGGGTTCATAAAAAGATTATTAAACCCGTTGCAAACTTTTTGGCACCAGTAGCGAAAACGGCAGGAACTATCATAGGTGGAGTATTAGGTACTAAAGCAGGTAATCCGGCGATGGGAGCACAAGCAGGTAACGCAATTGGTGGAATTGCTGAAGGAATACTTAATAAAATAGGAGGTAAATAGTGGAAAAATAAATAAATATTATTTTTATCTTAGTATCGGTTGAAGTCTTTGATAAACTTTTTCTCCTTTATTTAATATTTCTCTTATTGGGGCAGCTTTTGGTGTTATTGATTCAGCAACGTCACTAATTGCTTCTTTATTCTTAAATATCCAATTTGCTCCCTTCTTCATTGTTTCCCAAACTTTATGCGCTCCTCTTTTTACTTTATCCCACAGTTTCTTAAATATACCTGCAGCCATAGTTGATTATTTCATTAAAATTAAAAATTCATTTTCATCTTTTAATTTTGATTTTTTATTTATTAATAAATGACGACTAACTATTTGGTGCCAAACACTAAACCGATTAATGGAAATGTGTTTCATTCATTCGAAAAGATAAATGAAATATTCGCAAAGAATGACGGTAGAAGATATTATAGAGAACTTGAAAGTTCATGCTATGACTCTGATGCTCCATATTTTGATGATAAACAAACTCATTTAAGAATTACAAATCCGGCTCATGATGTGAACCAATTAGGTGACACATATATTAAACGCAAAGTTAAAGCAACTCTAGTTTCAAATAAAGCTTTCACATGTGATGCCGCTTTTAAATGCATGCGTTTATTCGTTGGTTACAAATCATCAAATCAAAACTTTAAACAATTAGAAGTAGAAACCGAAAGAGGTGATGCTGGTTATCTTCAGATGGATTGTGCCCGTGAATCTTTCGCATTTGCAACATATAAACCAAAATCAGAAAGGAAAGTTAAAAAGTTTGTTCATTCGTTATATAATAATGTTCAAAAATATGATAACTCAGTATGTGGTAAATATATTGACCCTTCAGAAGTTTTCAAGAACGCAAATGAAGAAGTTGATGTCACTTTTGATATGATTATTCCGGTAAATGATTTGTTAGCATTTCAGGCGTTCGATGATTATCCTAAATCATTTGGTGAAATCATTCTTAAATATTATGTTTTCAGGGATACTTTAGTATTTTGTCAGGTTGACCCGTTAAGAGTTGCTGATTTACAAAATTACGTTTATGAAAAGATAACTGATGAAAATTATGAAAAGATTATGAATCATGTTTATAAATATGATCGCAAATTCCAACAAATCGGACTTCCTGCCAAATTAATTACAAGCTTAGCCGCTACATCTGCTGACGCAACAGTTGATGACGTTATTATTTCATGCACAAAGATGGAAGTTTTAGAGGATAAATGCATTACACCAGGATACGGTTTAATTGAAGAATCAGTTAAAGCAATACCACGTTTATTCAGTAAGGAAGATCCATTCATGATTCCAGCTCAACATATTGACGTTCGTTCACTAAATGGAGGTTGCATCACTCCTGAAGGTATCAGCTCAGATTTCTCATACGCTCTTCATAATGTTACAGATGTTGTGTTAACATTTCCAAAGAATGCAATGCAAAGAACAGTTTTAGAAAATCCAATGCTTCGAGGTCTTCAGGTCACTATAGATTCCAGAAACTTCCCCGATCAAGCGATGACCACAGTGGGCGACATATTCTTTACACGTATGCTTCAAGCTTCTGATTTAGATGGAGTGAATGAATGCGCAGAAGAATACGAGGACTCATTAACTAGACCACTGAATGATGATAATGGCACGCCATTAGCTAGAACATGGAAAGACCAAACCTCATTCTTATGCACTATTCCAGTTCAACGTGATGGAGCAGGTATATTCTTTGATGGATTAGAAACTTTCAATTCACAAGTTACAGTACAAGTGAAAGCTTATCCAATCATTCAGGGTGAAAATGACACTTACTGTTCAAAGGTGACAAATCCTCCTCAGGTTTGGTTTACTAGGACTACGTATTGGACATGGACACCGGACGAAGGTTTGAAATATCATCCAACAGGTACACCACCACAGTATAGAAGTTCATATGATGAAATATTGATTAATAGAAATGTTTAAAATTATAAATTTATTTTTGATTAAATGGATTTCAATTCTGAAGAATTAACAGATGTATATAATACATACATAGATGATATGATTAATGAAGCATTGAGTGATAATAGAAATGCTCTATCTAAGGAAAATTAATGAAAATTCCATATTCTGAATGTTACTTAAATTCAATCACTGCAGCAATTGGTAAACAAAATAAAGGTAAAACATTAACAATATTAAAACAAATTATCATTATTGCTAACACTTCCCCCCATTCACATGTGTTAATTTATATCAACCGTTCAGGTTCACCTTCAGATGATACATTTGAATCTTTAAAACATTTAATCAAAATTCCAATTATTTATTTATCACAAGAAGAAGCAGAAGATTATTTAAAAAACTTTTTAATGTATAAAGAATTATATAATACAATCAAGAAGCAAGGATTAGAGGATAAAATTATTGATAAACAACGGGATGAATTATTTGAAACACTTTCTATTTCAAATTTTGATAGAGAATTTTTGCATTCACTCATTTTTCTAGATGATGCAGTGAAATCAAAACTAATAACAAACGAGAAATCATATTTTAATCAGTTATTAACTCAATGTCGACACATTCAGTGTTCATTCTTCATGGCTGTTCAATATTTCAAAGCATTAAGCACAAACATTAAATCAAATCTATCAACCCTTTTCATTTTCAGTGGGTTTAGTCGTCAACAGTTGAACGTTATGCTTTATCAAGTGAATTTACCAATGAGCATTAATGAACTTTACACACAATATCAGCAATTAGGTGAACATGGAAAAATAATAGTTGATTTAAATAAAGGAAGTGTTAAATTTGATTAACTTTTTATAATTAATTTTTATTTTTTATTTATAATTAAACATGACAGAAATAGCAAATCTTCTACAGGTTCCATTAAAACAAGGGACAAACAAAAAGGGTGCATATTATAATAGAACTATGAAAGTTCCAGATGGAATGAAAGAATTAGTTCATATTGTTGCTGGTCTTCAAAAAGATGTTAAACAAATGAGAAACGTTTTAACATTACCAGAAGCTCAAGCATATGCCAAACATCATGGACCAAATTGGGAAGCACATGAAGCAGACATTACAGGACCAAATGGAAAGCCTGATGGAATAAAAGAAGTCTTTGTTACTGATGGTCAAGGTAATATTAAAGTCATAAATGGGTATAAATTAACAATGACGGATTATCCTAAACGTAAAGCATATAATGAACATTATCCTATGCAATTTGATGAAAATGGAAAAGCTGTTAAACAATACATTGGAAAAGGTGAAAATGGTCCAATGTATTCATACCATCTTATTCCATATTCTTATTTCAATGAAGAATTAAATGCTGTTGAAGAGGGACCGGATGGATTACCACGATATGTTAATCAGTTTGATGGTCAATATGCAAATATTAGACCTGAAATTCCAGCTAAGAAATTCTTTAAAGTTGCTTTATTCGATCCAGTGTTCAATGAACAGAAAGAAGCAATGAAAGCAGAATTTAAACCAATTCAAGTGGCAAGAATTTCTTCATCTTCATGAGATTTCTGAAAAGTTTTACCATCAGAAATGAGTAATTGTATATGTTAATCAGTTTGATGGTCACATTAAATTTTAGCTGTTCCGTTTTTGTTCATTTATGTAAGAATAAAAAATTAAAAAATAAATAAAAATAAAGTTTATTTTTTAAAGCCCATAAAATGAATTAAGAACACATAAATTTTTATCATCTGCGACGTGACGAATACATTTTAATTTACTCAAGAATGCGTACCCTGATACATTAAATCTAATTCCTGTCTTATTTAATTTCACAACTTTGAAAAGGAATGTATGAATAGCTATAAAATGATGAGAAGATGTTTTATGGGTTGCTTCCATTTTTTCTGAAATAAATGAATAAATATAATGTTTATAAGTTTTCATATCTTTTATGTTCTTAATAACGAATGGTATAGACCTTTCAACTTCGTCTTCCTTCGGTGCTGTTCTTTCATATGAAACATTATTGGTATCTTCAATAATGAAACCACAATCACACAAAATTTTATAGGTTCCAATGGTTTCTTTTGATATTTTATCTAATAAATCAAAAACTTTATCAACACCTGTGCATTTATTTAAATAATAATTTGTGTAAATATCATGATCTTCTTTCTTAATCGTATTAGTTGCATATGTCACGTTTTTAAGAGCTTTTTTGAATTTCTCAGAATCGAGAGGGGGTGAAAGTAATATACATGGATAATCTCCATCGTCAATAAACTGAAGCTTATGTTTATGAATAAATTTTGTGCCTTCTTCTGAAAGTGTTTCGTCAATATCACCATCTAATAAATTTTGTGTTGATTCTAAGACATAATTTTTATATCTTTCTTCATGAGATTTCTGAACTTCTGATTCTGAAGCTGGGATATTCATTAAACCCTCTACTTCATTTTCATTATATTTTTCAACTTCTCTTAATTCCTTAATTTTTTCATCTATTTCATCTCTTATTTTTTCCAGTTTTTCAATCTCATCGTTATAATATTCATCTTGTTTAATTTTTTCTTCAAAATATTCAGGAGGTGTTTCAAGGCTCTCTGAGCCCAGGTCCTCTGGACCATAAAGAGGAATATTCTCCTGTTTTTCAACTTTTTTGGGATATAAATATCTCATTATAGCCTTTTTAGTAATTGGTCCGTTATATTTAAATTCATTCAACAATCTGGAAAACTCTTTCACATTCTGCATATATGTTGGATAAGAACCGTCTCCAAAATTTTCTAAAATATTTTCTAATTCTGAATTAGTGAACTTTAAAGATTTCAATGAATTAGTTGTTATACTCATTTATTATAAAATAAAAAATAAAAAAAATAAATTATTCAAAAATGTAAGACATGAATTTTTAAAGTTTATTTTACTCATTCATGACTCCATTGATTCCAATCAGGATTTAAACAATGTTTAATTATTGAATAACCTGACATCATCTATATATAGCTTCTTTTATAAGTGATGAAATATAAATTATTTTAAAATTAATGTTAATTTTTTTAATGTGTTTATTTCGTTATGTATGGGCTGAGTGTAAATGTCTTACAATTTTGAAAATTTTTTAAATCTTGATTTATTCAAAAACGTGAGAATAAAAACCGTAAGAATCATACATTTTTTACTTCATATGTTAAAAAAAATGATACAAAATCGTTCTATATTGTATGAATTCTTACGTTTACAAAAAAAGTCACACAACCCTTCAACATATACTACTAGTTATTTTTTCTGGATAAGATATTATATGGATAATTGGATAGAAAATACAATTATATAATCTTGTACCTGGTTTAATTAAGCTAATTGTCATCAGAAACTTGTAATTTTTATGAATTTCAGATTTTCTTTTCATTACTGCTTTTCTTAATAGGTCAAGTTCTTATTTACGTTATAAAGTATGATATTTACAAATATCAAGTTATCATGTTTTTTGAGAAATTATGAGAAACAAACAAGAATGAAAAAGATAGGAATAGCAATGAATAGTGATGTGGGTATAGAAAATGTAAGAGATATAAATGCAAAGCAATCAGTATTTAGGATATTGACCATAGATTTCGAAAAAAAATGCTGCATATTGAGCGAAAACTATGATTATATTATAAGGCTGTCATTTAAAGCATAATGAAACTATTCCCTTTTCATTTTAATCGAATAAGATAGTAAAGATTTTTGAATTAGCTAGAAACTGATGAGATGTTTTCACAAATCAGATTTTTAATCTCTATAATGCATAATTCACTCAATATCTCAATTTTGATATTGCGAGATATTAGTAGTATATAAGTGCGGGTTGTGTGACGTTTTTTGTAAACGTAAGAATTCATACGATATTGAACGATTTTGTATCATTTTTTCTAACATATGAAGTAAAAAATGTATGATTCTTACGGTTTTTATTCTTACGTTTTTGAATAAATCATTAAAAAAATTAACATATGAAGTAAAAAATGTATGATTCTTACGGTTTTTATTCTTACGTTTTTGAATAAATCATTAAAAAAATGTATGATTCTTACGGTTTTTATTCTTACGTTTTTGAATAAATCATTAAAAAAATGATACAAAATCGTTTATGTCATCCACATTTACACTCAGCCCATACATAAATAATTTATTTGATCTTTTATAAAAGAAGCTATATATAGATGATGTCAGGTTATTCAATAATTCATTATTTTTGAATAACTGATGAGGTCACCAGGTCACCAGGTAATTTAATTTCTCTGAAAAAATGTGACAACATGACATTTTGACAACAGGAATGAAAGGAGGATGGTATTTATTAATTATTGTTTAAATCCTGATTGGAATCAATGGAGTCATAAACGAGTAAAATAAACTTTAAAAATAAATTGAAACCAATGATTATTTGAATTTATGAAATCAATTATTTGATTCATTCTTTCATTTCTGAATAATTTATTTTTATTTTGTATGAAATGAGCGTCAAAACTAACGACGTTAAAAATTAGGATTCACAAACGGGGAAATAAAGGATATATTAGAGGAGGCAGGTTATGAGGTTGATAAATATTATTTAAGAAATTGTAAAAAATTCACAGAGTTCTTAAATGAATTTGATTATGATGGAAAAATGAATAAAGATGATGTTATAAATTTCTTATATCCCACATCTAAAGAAGAAAAACCTAAAGAACCCGATGTTTTCCCTGAATATTATGAAGAACGGATTAAAGATGATGAATATGATGAAATTGAAAGACTGGAAAAAATAAGAGATGAAATAGATGAAAAAATTAAGGAATTAAGAGAAATTGAAAAATATAATGAAAATGAAGTAGAGGGTTTAATGAATATCCCAGCTTCAGAATCAGAAGTTCAGAAATCTCATGAAGAAAGATATAAAAATTATGTCTCAGAATCAACACAAAATTTATTAGATGGTGAAATAGACGAAACACTTTCAGAAGAAGGTACTAAATTTATTCGTAAACATAAGTTACAATTTATTGATAAGAAAATACCCCTGTATCCTACTTTCACCACCTTTAGATTCGAAAATTCAAAAAAGCTCTTAAAAACGTGACATATGCAACTAATACGATTAAGAAAGAAGATCATGATATTTACACAAATTATTATTTAAATAAATGCACAGGTGTTGATAAAGTTTTTGATTTATTAGATAAAATATCAAAAGAAACCATTGGAACCTATAAAATTTTGTGTGATTGTGGTTTCATTATTGAAGATACCAATAATGTTTCATATGAAAGAACAGCACCGAAGGAAGACGAAGTTGAAAGGTCTATACCATTCGTTATTAAGAACATAAAAGATATGAAAACTTATAAACATTATATTTATTCATTTATTTCAGAAAAAATGGAAGCAACCCATAAAACATCTTCTCATCATTTTATAGCTATTCATACATTCCTTTTCAAAGTTGTGAAATTAAATAAGACAGGAATTAGATTTAATGTATCAGGGTACGCATTCTTGAGTAAATTAAAATGTATTCGTCACGTCGCAGATGATAAAAATTTATGTGTTCTTAATTCATTTTATGGGCTTTAAAAAATAAACTTTATTTTTAATTTTTTTTATTCTTACATAAATGAACAAAAACGGAACAGCTAAAATGAATGATAATCAAATTAGAGCAGAAGGTAGAAGGTTATTTAAACGCTTCTATAACATTCCTGATGGTGTTAATCCTAAAACTCGTAGAAGCTATTTAAATGAAGCAATAGATGCATATGAAGGTTTTGACATTTCATCAGAAAGTGAGAGATTAGCGAGAATGTTAAATGTTAATATTGATTTCTATTATTGTGATCCTCAACCAGAAGACGTGGACATAAATAAGGTAGACTTTCCATTAGTGGAATCAATAATGATAGATCCAGAATTTGAAACAGTAAATATTTTATTAACACAGAGTCCATGTGGAAAACTTCACGCTGACAGAATAACAGACGTTGAAGCACTCACCGGCTATAAAGTTTGTCCATATTGTAAAGAAGAAGTTTATTCTATCCGTGATGATCCAGAAAGGAAAAACCAAAGAAGATTTTTAAAGCATTGTGAGAAATGTAAAGAAAATAATGGAAGATTAATTCAAGACGTTCAATTGCAAAAGACACAGCAACCATATGCACCACATATTACGAAACAGAAGATATATCAGTGGTTATTAGCTCACAATTTGCAGAAATATTATAAACCGACAAGATATTATATTACTTTTGACTTTGAAACATTAGAGACTAAAGAAGAATTACAACTTTCTGAGTGTGCAACTTTGAACGCTTACTTAAAACCATTCATGGTATCATCAACGGTTAAATTAAACGATAAAACATATACGAGGAATTTTTGCTTAACTTCGAGTGATTCTTTTATTTCTGATTGGATTGAGTTTTTATTTTCAACCTGTTCATTAGTTGCTAAATCAAATATTGAACAATATGAAGAATTATTGAAGCCGCAAACGGTGGGGACTTTGTCTCATACATTAAATGAAAAACAGA